TCCTGCTGACCTATATAATTCAGTCTTTCATAATGAGATTCGGAGAGAGCATTTACAGTTACTTCCATTGAATTTAAAGCAGGATGGCAGAGTGAGCGAGAAGCAGGGTCGCCAAACAGAGGTTCCTCTCTGTGCTGAGCAGCAACACTGTTTTCAGAAACTGGTTCTCCAATGTCCTGTGAAGTCAGTGGTTCTGAGGACCCACTACACAACTTATCTGTGTTACATGCAGTTTGCTCTCTATCTCCAGAACTCTGTCCAATATCTGTCTGGTAATACTTCTCATACGCTTGGCATTTCACTTTAGCTTTCAATTTAACTCTTTCAGGATTTTTAACAGTTACTTTATTAATCTCTTCCTCATCTTCAGTGTGATGTATCACTCCTCCATTACTTCCAACAAGTTGCTCTGTATAATTTTTCAGTGCCAATTCTTCCGATATTTTTTCTTTAATTTTCTCACTTACTTTGAGCTGTCCATCATACAGTTCCACAACAATCTGTCCATCTGATTCTCTGGATACAATTACAGCCTTCAGCAGCTTACCAAGGAATGTTTCTTCAAACCACCTTGTAACTCTTGCTGGAATTCTTGTCTCCCTAAGATCTGACAGACAGCATTTAATAGCCTGCATGGGTGTAAATATTAGATCAGTGGCAGAGTCTGGAATATGCATCAACTGGTCTCTCTCTACTATATTCTTATTTCCAAAATCCACAAAGTCAACACATACATAGGATGTTGATTCCACAGGAAAAGCCAAAGCTCTATAAAAGAGACCATCTTCAAAATATCTGGCTATGCATAATCGTGTATTGCTGCTGGTATCATATTTCACATTATTTGGCATTTTACTTATGACACTAGTCTTCTTCATCAATGCCTCTATAGTTGCAGTGTTTCGATTAAGCTGACAATAGAATTTTGAAGGACTATGTATGTGAGTTATGTAAACCTCCTCTTCACTTCCAATTTTTATATTAAAAGATGAATAGCAAAAACTGTGCAGAGAACCCAAAGATGCAAGGCTTCTCAGACCAGTATGTTCAGGCTGGGTGAGACCATGCTTTCTGAGGAATTCCTCTGCATCAATAAATGGACTCTGTAAGTCAACTATATTGCATATACTGTTGGAGTTTACAAGAACAAGAGCATAAATGATGCAAGTCAGTGGTCCTCTAGAAGCAGAAATAGTGTCTTTAAAATGGCTAATCACTTCTTCAGACCAATTAAACTGTAAGGGTACATTTTTAAGTACACATCGAAATGCCTGACCTTCCAGAACTAGGAAATCTGGAAGAACAGCTTGAAGA